GCGCCCGCTTGCTGCAGCTGCACCCAGCTGGTGTGGGAAGGAGAAGCTGGGCTTGGTGATGGGGCTGATTTACCCAGCGTCCGCCTGCTGTCCTCAGGCATTTGAGGGGGGATAAGGGCCACGGAGCACACATTGTGCTGGACTCTGACCCTTCCCTCTGCCTAAAAGTGGATTCCCTCTTCCTTCCCCTCTTCCCTTTCTGGCTGCTGCCTGGATCACTGTTTTTAGCTGACTAATAAAGTATTTTGTGTAGAAATCACTGTGCATGCCTTTTTGTGCGAAGGATAACCCCTCTGTGCCCAGCCTCTTCCCCAGATGGGGTGGAGCAGGCTTCCTCTCCACCTCGCCCCCCCCAAAAAATAGAGGTAAGCTCTGCCTCCCCAGTCCCAGGAGTCAGATCCTGCTGAGGAGGACATTAAGAGAGCAGCGGCTACAACAGAGCCCCTGGGAGGAGGCAGATCAGCGCAGTTATCTGGAAATAAGTTAAGAGAACAGGCTGGAGCTTGTTTTCAGGTAATTTTCTTGTTTACTTGTGTTCCCCTTCTGCAAGGGCAGTGCAAGAGGCAGGAGAAGGGAGAGGGGGATGACCGCAGTGCGTCTTTAAACTCGCTGCCCTGTTGCAGCTTGGGTCTGGACAAGATGAAGGCCGAGACACAGGAGCCACTGCTGCTCCCCAATCCCCCCCCGGGTTGGAGCAGAGCCCGTGCGGGGCCAGCCAGCCTGTCCCACAGCCTTACCCACCCTTCAGCTAGCTAGGAACTCACTCGGGCCCTCCTTCCCTGGTTAGGCAGGGGGGTAACTGTCCTTTCCTGAAGAACACGGTTGTTCTCGAGCGCTGCTCTCCGATGGCTGGGTGGGGGGCGAGGGGGAGACTCTGCCCTTCCCTGGAACCCCCGCCTCCTTGCACAGCTCTTGGGATGGGGGAAGCCTCAGGCTGCGATTTGAGCTCACAGCGTTGGTCCAGGTTGCCGCAGCGTCAGCAAGGGCGACTGACGGCGTCACTGCCTCAAGACCAAGAGGACGGAGAGCACGCGGAAGGGTGTGAAGGAAAGCCTCACGCCCCGCTGCTCCAGCAGCAGGCGGCCCCCTGCAGCCGGCCGCTCCAGGAGGTCGCAGCTGGGGAAGAAAGCAGCGGGTGAGGCTGAAGCCACTGATCTCCATCCCCACAGGCGCCCAGCCCTCCGGCGTGGACTTACAGCATCGCTTCCTTAACGGGGAGGGAGGTCTGGAGCCAGGCGACAACGGTGCTGCCATGTGCCTCGTACAGCCGAACCACCACGGCTTCAGGTCTGGCCTCAGCCTTTGGGGGACAGTGCAGGCGGGAATTCAGACAAATGAGACAGGCGCATCCTATCCTACACCTCGGGGTACAGCCCGACCCAAGTGATCGCGGCTGAGCGGCTCTGCCTGTGGGCACGCGCGTTCCTGACCTGCTGCGCTGCGGCGCTAACGACTGTGGCTGCAGGACCCACAGACTACGCGGATACTACCGATCCCTGGCGCGAGTGCCTGCCCGGGCTGGCAGAGAGGGGTGCTAACCCCCCTTGCCCTCACCTAGCAGGACATGCAAACCAGAGGGATCGCTCTTTCTGCTCAGCTGAGCCTGCCGTTCACCCAACGTGGGGGAAAGAGCAAGCCACGCTTAACAACAGCAGCTTAACCCATCTGCCCTCCCCACTTCTGCCCCGGGGACTTGCCTGCTTGACAGTCTCCAGCACGACCGCAGGTGAGCTGACAGAAAAGGCGCTCCAGGCCGGGCACTGGGCAGAGCTTGCCGGCACCGTGTGGAGGGGGAAATTCAAGTTGTAGGCATGCTGGATCACACTGGCATCCTGGAAGGAACCTGCCACACAAGAACCTCTGGCCAGCCTCTACGCACGCACAGCCAGAGACACGCTCACCCCAAGGCTCACTGGAGCATCCTCCACCCTGCGTGTCCCCACAGGGCCCAGCTCTGCCCATCACTCACCCAGGTGAGGCATCACGGCGTAGGTGAACATGTGGCACGCGATGTCTGCCGTGGCATCGGGGGACTTGGGTGCTCTCAGCCTAAGGCAACAAGAGGTAGGTGAGAGTGGTGTCTCGGCAGCACCCTCTTGTCACCCAGTGCGGAGCCAGAGGAGCACTGTGACAACTGCCTCCCCCTGCTACCCCGAGGCTGGGCCCTGAGGTGGAAGCCAACATCCTGCTGGTTTCTGGCAACAGCAAACAGACCCTGGACAGTCCCAGAAGCTAAAAAGTTTGAACAGTGTTTTCCTGTGAAACTTATGGCTGACGGAGTCAAACTGAAATATGTAGAGCTTCTCTTAGCTTTGTGTGCATCCATAACATTGCTGGTCCTTCCCCCTCCTTAAGCCTCCCCTCCTGGGATATGTTTTGGCCAGCAACAGAAAAATTACTTGGTGCAAACGTGGATCTGGTCTCTCCTGAATTATCTGTGAGCATAACTCACAGGAATTACTTTATCTTAGTCAATTTTAATTAGGTCAGCCAAAAGTTCTCGGACGACAGCCAGCTGCTCAGACTAATACCAGACTATTTCCTTATTAACTATGATCATCTAGGACCAGATGCTGCCTTGACTTCCAAGAGACACCTCAGAAGGCAAAGTGACTGCTGCAGCACCACCCTCACCCCAACCCTACTCACAGCGAGAGGCTGAGGACGTTCCCATGGGCCGATGCCCCGTATTTGCAGTCGTTCAGCAGTGCCACCCCGAAGCCGTGCTCGGAGAGATCCAGCCACTTGTGAGCCCACACCTGCAGGAGGTACCAAGGGACATATTCACCACACAGAGCTACTGCCTGGGAGCAAAAGCAGCCCCACCACGGGAGGAGCAGCTCGGCCCTGGGACCAGACCACCTTTCCTCTCACCTCGAATCGAGCCCAGTCCCAGGACGTGTTCCAGTGCGTTGGCCGCTGCAGGTGTCCAAACTGGATCTCATAGGTGGCGTTTGTGCTCCGGACCTGCACAGGGAACTCCACCTTCAGGAACTTGTGAGCCTCCTTCCACTCAACCTAAACGTGGTAGCAGAAGGACATCACCACGGGGGGCTGACGGGCAGCGGCTGCGCTTGTCCTTCCCTGGTGCACAGCAGCCAGCTCGCACCCAGGCCAGACCAGGTACAATAAAACCATGCTAGAGTCTGAACTGGCGGGTGTCTCTTCCACCCTTGTCCCTCAGGGCCCCCACCCTCAGGCTGCCTTCCCCTAAGGCAGAGGGGGGCTCCAGGGAAGGAAACAGGAAGAGGAACGTAATTCAGACGCGAGGTTCAGCTCCCCAGGGCCCTGCCTGCACAGCACATGTTCGTACCGCACGGCAGCTGCTGGCCAAACCTGGGTCAGAAAGCGGAGGTACGGGCACGTGGCATCCAGGATGATCTCCTGGGTTAAGGTGCTGCTTTCCCCGATCTGCAGAGAGAAGCTCGCGCTTCCCCGCAGGCCCCCAGCCAGGGTGATTTCCAGAGGCTTCAGCAGCGTTGTCACTGGCTTCCTAGAGAAAGGGATAAAGGCAGAGCTGGTCTCAGCCTGGTAGATCCAGGTTCCCAAATCCCAGTCCAGCCTCCCACACAGCAGGCACTCACTTCTCCAGAGTGAATGCTCTGTTGCAGCTTTTGTTACAGCTAGGACTGACAGGAAGGCAAGAACCTCAGAGCAAAGTCAAAATCCAAGTGCTGCATGCACTGCTCCTCTACCTGGTTTCCAAGTGATAATCCATCACGTCCCAGGCATCCCAGTACAAGGGAACATCATCAAAGAGTGCAAACTGGTTGGCATAGCAGCCATCTGGGACTGACTCTCTGGAACACAGTGGAAGAGAGAAACAGCAGCGTAAGAAGAACTGGCAGTGGAGAAGGGCGTACAGTGAGAAGACGACTCGAGAGAGGTGTGAGGAGCCCGGTTCCAGTAACTGGGTGACAGACATACCTCTCGGAGTCCACCAGCCGAAGCGAGGTCAGGTGCCCCATCACGTCCAGGCAGACTGCAATCACCCCATTCTCCATGGCAATGGAGCCGTCCTCCTTGGGGGAAAGGACAGAAACAGATTTCACAGACCCACACCTGCGGGAGTTGAGTGCCCCAGTTGCAAATCTAGTGTGGGAACTTGCTGCCTGCTGGATTCCCTAGATTTCTCCCCAATCAACCTTTGATGCAGGGTACACCGATCTAAGGACAACTGCTGTTGTGCTTACCTGTTTCCTCACTGCCACAGGCTGAGGGGGCAGCAACGGCTCCCTCACTAGAGCATAGCCCATGCTGGGGACTGTCACCAGAGCTGGAAAGCAAAGAGGTTCTGTTCCAACGTCTGCCCCGGACCTAACCCTAAGTCACACCGTGCTGCCCGGCTGCTCTCACGTCAGACCTAGCACCTCCTCTCATACCCTCCTCTTCTCCATCCATAGTTCAGGGACAACTTTGAAGTGGGATAAAGTCCCAAGGAGCGATTTGACAAGTCAGTAAACCCTCCCTAGGGCAGGGAGAGGCAGAGTATTTCTTTGTTACTGCCTCTGCCCCATAAGAAATTCTGATACATCAGTTACCCCCGTGTTAGACATACCCAAAGTCTCTGTTCCGGCTGGCCCGGTCCTGGAGATCACCTCGGTTCGTTCCCAGGGCAAAGTGTTCAACACGAGGGTGCTCTCGGTGCTCCCTGCCTTGGGCTGCAGCAGTTCCCTGCATAAGGACTGCACAGCTTCCTCCTGCAGCCGAGCACCAGCCCTGCGGATCTCTGAGCAACAAAAAGGCCCAAGTTGGATCTGTCGAGGCCGTTTCTCACATCTGAGAGAGTTTCTGGCACTCCCGTGCAACGTACGCACACTTTAGCTACTTCCAAGCTACAATTACAAATTATCATTAATATTATTATCTATTAGTAAGTAATTAAAGTTTATAATTATTCTTAACTTTGTTATTACACAATTACAATGAGCTATGCCAGCTCAACTGGAAAATTGTGGTGCTGTAATAAAGTGAAGCTACTGCAAGTGCCTGTGGGCAGGCAGGAACAAACCTTTGCCGGGGTCTATCCTGACATGCCAGCAGCAAGCAGAGAAGTCAGTAACTCGGGATGTTTTTTAATCCCTTGGCTCCCCTGCTAATTCCCTGTTGAGTTAG